GGGGGGGGGCTTAGGGGTGAGAACTACCCATGGTAGTTTGCTCAATAAGCCACACTGAAGCAAATCATGATTAACAGGAAGCAGCTCTGCTTCTTAAGAGAGAACTAAACTTGAAGAGAACGAATGCAGGAAATTCTCGACTTAACAACACATCATTTAGTGACGGTTCAAATGTACAGCAGCAGTGGAAAAAAAGTGAGTTAGGACCGTTTTTCACACTTACGACTGTTGCAGCATTCCCGTGGTCACATGATCTACATTCAGATGCTTGGCAACTGGCTTGTATTTATGACAGTTGCAGTGCCCCGGGATCACATGATCCCCTTTTGCGACCTTCCGAAAAGCAATGTCAGTGGGGAAGCGAGATTCTCTTAACAACGACTGACTTAACAAAGGCAACAATTCCCTTAATAACAGTGGCGAGAAAGGTCATAAAATGAGTCAAAACTCACTTAGCAATTGTCTCGCTTAACAACGGAAATCTCAGGCTCAATTGTGCACCATTGTGCCTACCATCCCTGTCCTATTGTCCCCATTGATGCGTATACCTATTTCCTGTATTCATGCTCATGTTTATTCTTATATCTATTATCTTATAAGCGATTGACAAATAAATAAAATAAATAAATAAAGTAAATAAAATAAAATAAAATAAAAAAGTAAATAAAATAAATAAAGTAAATAAAATAAAATAAATAAAATTAAAATAAAATAATAAAATAATAAATAAAATAAAATAAAATAAAATAAAATAATAAAATAAAATAATAATAATGAAATAAAATAAAATAAAATAAAATAAAATAATAAAATAAATGAAATAAATACAATAATTAAAATAAATAAATTGTGGTCGTAAGATGAGGACTCTCCGTACCTATAACAAATACTGTAACGTCTATGGAGATCCAGTTCGTGGTTGTCCATTAAGGGCTTTTTTCAGTAGGCAACTGGACTTTCTGGTTTTTCCTTGAAGACATTTCCCTTCTCATCCAAGAAGCTTCTTCAACTCTGACTGAATGGCGGGGAACGGAAGGATTGGCATTCCTTTGCAGACAGCTGGTCATCTGCATCCTTTTAGAGGGTCGTTGAGGCCACTTGGAGGTTTAATCTGTATCTCAGAGTCACCTGAGTGATGCTAATGGGTGTGGAGCCTTTTTGGAACTGTTGAAAGGACCATGTTGTAGACTGGAGATAGACGACGTCGTATCCCTCCCCCGCTGTTGAGGGAGGGCTGTTCAATTTGGACAACAGATGGCCTCTTTGACCCCTTTCAAACCCGAGGTCCTCTCTGTCCAAAATGGGGACTTTTGTTGTCTTCAAAAGAGCTGAATCTAATCCTGACAGGTTTGTTCTCCTATGTTTGTGTAGCGCCTGTTTGGTTTCCCCAACATACAGATATGTCCTTTCCCCAGTTCCAAGAAGGCTGCCCGTCCATTCGCACCACTCCGGTGACCCTGAGGGCACAGCGATAAACCTCCAAGTGGCCTCAAGGACCCTCTCAAAGGATGCAAACGACCAGCTGTGTCTGCAAGGAGTATAAATCCTTCCATTCCCCACCACCCAGTCAGAGCGGAAGAAGCTTCTCGGAGGAGGAAGTGAAACATCTTCAGAGAAAAAACCAGAAAGTCCAGTTGCCTCTTGAAAAAAAAAAATAGCACGTTTGGGAAATACCGTAACCCTTTGCTCGCGCTTGACGGGCGGCCATCTTGAGATTTTTGACAGAGAAGGAGGCGGAAGAGAAGCTCTCTTACCAGATAATAAATAGAGAGGACTCCTTGCCCGGGTTCAATCAGCCCGTCTTTGAGAAGAACCCGTAGTGTGATTCCTCGGCGGGTGAGGAGGCCACAGCTGCGTCCACC